TATCCAAAGCTAATAATATCCAAAAGCTAGTGACATGAAAGCCAGAATGGCACTTTTCTGGTCAGGTTACATGTGGAGCACTATATATAGTTCTAAGTATCACAATATGGAAAAAGTCATTAAAAATCTTGAGTTTATTTAGAGAAGAGCAACCATGCTGGTTTAAGGCCTTCAGTTCATGCCATGTGAGAATAATTTGAAGAAATGAGTGATATTAATCTGAAGAAGAGAAGTTAGGCTGATTATTATCTTTAAGTACATGATGAGGCTATCACTATCCTAAAGGGATTGGTTTTGTTCTTATTCCTAGAAGGCAAAGCTTAAAGCAAAAGGTAGAGGGTATAAAAACTGGAATTTCAGGTTGATTTAACAAAATATCATCTAACAATTTATGCTAACCCAAAGTTAAACAGGAAGTTTTTGGTAGATAGTATCATCCCTTTTAGTTGAATTTTTTGAGCAAAGGCTTCGTGACCACTTGTAGAATGGATTCTTGTCAGTTCTGGGTTGGTCTAGATGACTACTGAGGGATATTACAGCCCTTGGATTCTGCTGTGTTCTGTACCTTGTTACTTCAAAAATCACTCAACTATATATAAAGTATAATGCTGACACCTTAGACTATATAATGGTAAAAGTTTTCAAGGATCAGTGAATTTAGTGTCTAGGGTATGCCTGATTAAGACTTCTCTATACCCTAGTGGTTCACCATTTTCAGTCACTGTGACTGAAAAAGTCATCACATTATACTCGATCTTCTGGTAATACTAGTTTCTATAATTAGACATGCTGGACCTGGACAATATATGATAGACACAGTGTCTTTCCATTATAGTAGGAGCTGTGACAATAAGCACTCATGGCATACTGGACAAAGCACTAGACATGAAGTCAGGAATCCCCGGGTTCAGATCATATAATAGACCCATAGTGGTTCTGTGATCCTTGCAAGCCATTTAATCCCATGGTGCCTCAGTTTTCTAGTTGGTAAAATGAGGGGATAGGATAATATGATATTTATAGTAGCTTCCAACTCTTAGTCTATTAGCCTATAGAAACCAGATTCACCACTATACCATAATGAGGCATTGAAGTTGGAATTAAGTGAAATGTATATAAAGTTCTAAGTAGAATTTTTTCTACTCAAAATAATGCCAAATATAATAAGTGATCATTCTTTTTTTCATCCCTAATTCAATATAAAACATCAACAACAACAACAACAAACAAACAAATAAATGAATGAATAAATAAATAAATGAAATAGAACCAAAATACTTCAGCCAAGAATCATTTAAAGGGATCACTTTTTTTCCCCTTATAGTTGAGGTGAGTCCTGATTTACAAAGAAAATCTATTTCTATTGCATTTAAAGAACACCAGGCTTGTATGTAATTACTTCTGGATAGTTCATTATGTGATATATTATTAAAGATGATTGCACCACAATCAGATTGACTGTACAGTGGTCCAAATCAACATCATGATGGCCCAAAGAATTACATATTGATATGGCTGAATCTTAACACTTCATAGTGCTGGAAATAGTTGTCCTGGCTCTATATTTCTAATTTTAATTGTTCCACTTTAGAGAGGGGAAAAAAATCCAACCTAATATCAAAGAGAAGCCACATGATTTTAACTGATCGATGAGATTATATCAAATTTAAATGATTGTGTTAATTTCTTTTAGAGAGAGCTCAGTACCACATGTGATTTTTAAAATAAATTTCAATTCTTAGTATATGATACTATGATTCATTTACTAATATTGTTATTTCAGAATAAAATTATCCTTTGGTTATAAATCGGAAAAAAATAGAAATAATAAAAATATATACTTACTAGTGTATAATGATTATTAACCATATTTTTTATTTATTCATAAATTTATTTATTCATTCATTCAGTTGTGATTAATTGATTGGTAGGTTTTTTTTAGATTGTGTCTCTCTAATCTTGCCAAAGCTGGAAGTATAGAAGACAGTCACTAGTTTCATACTAATACCAATTGACGTGACTACTTCATTTTTCTGACCTGAGTTAGTTCTCCCCTCCTTAGACACTCTAATGGGCCTCTACCATTGGGAGCACTCCATATTGATACCAGACTTGTTGCTGATCAGGCACAAGATTAGATGCAGTACCACTACAACTTAGAACTCCTGAAACTAAATGAATCTGTCACCTCCAGACTCCCCCATAGCAGGGACTATAGGTCTATGCCACCATGTGCAGCAGAAACATATTGATAAATGTTTTATTTTAAAAAAATACTATTGTACCAATTTTCAATATATATATATGTATATATATATATATATATATATATACACACACACACACACATATTTAAAAACTACATCTAGACACTAATTATATGTTCTAGTTAAGAAGATTTAATAAGTGAATTTTTTTTAAAAAAACCATATTTTATATTTAACTTTAGAAGAGGCTTTATACCTGTAATGCTTGTCAACAATTCAATGAATTTACACTCATTATCCCTCAAACTAAAAAGCAAACATCAAAATCAGACATAATGAAAAAAAAAACCCATCTCCTATCCAGCCTATTTCTGAAATCCCTTGACAACTTTATAGATTCTCAATCAAAGGAAGAGATATGGGATGGTATAAGGACCCAGCGAAAACCAATGAAACATACACACACACACACACACACACACACACACACACACACACACACACATAATACAACACTTATGTATGTGAGAAGTATTACGTTAGTTACCTGACTCTCTCCTCCACCAGTTAGCACACATTCGTTTGGTACTCCAGGCACACCACAATAAAGCCCAATAAAGCCTGGGACTGGCTTATTTCTAGACGTTCCTGATTAGAAGGACCCACCCCACTCCCCAACTTTAGATCATGTGCATCATGTGATTGCTTTTTTTTTTTTTGGTTGTGACAACTCAGGATTGAGGCTTAACACAGATACCCTGCCTTTGGAAAGTAGCAAGTATAAATTAAAGCCACAAAAAAGCCTTAAAGCTTTTGGGTGTTAATTAACTGGCTGACTATTCTGTAGCCTTACTTCCCTGAAAGAGGAATTTTCTGTCAATGCCTAAGATAGCCACTGTGGACCCTCAGCTTCCACTGAGACCTAGGAAAGACCTCACCTTAAAAAGGCCAAGGTCCCCAGGGTCATTTCCCATTGTCCTGATCTATGTCTTGCCGCTGGACCCAGATGGCTCTGGAGGAGAAAGTGAAGCTGGTAACTTTGGGCAGCCCTGCCTCACTTAAATCCAATTAACTTGCAAGTCAAGACATCACATTCCTGGTATCATTTATCCTCTTTGGGAATGGACAGATAACAATGGAGGAAAAAAAAGAATCCCCTAATGATTTCTCCTTAGTCTGATGTCAGTATGTGAGATTCTTGCCTTTCTAAAAGAATTGTAGCTTGAACCTCTGGACTTTAAATTACTATTAAAAAGAAAGGCCAGAGCCAACACTTTGTCGAGAGCAATTCAGCTAAGAACTGCCTGAAATAAAAATCTGGGGGCAGAGAAGATGCTTTAAAATTATATGCTGAGTTGACCTATACCTGGCAGTAACCAGCAGCATCCACAGGGATGGCAATGAGCAACACCTGGCAGAAATTACACTACGTGCCCACAGACTTGGCATAGACTATAGCCCTGGCAGAGAATTCATGCTTGAGATTAGCATGGGAGAATAGGGCAATTACAGCACCAGAAGTTACATTTGGCCCTTAGCTTTGGAGGTATGAGTTGACTTTCCAAGACTGTGCACTGGCCACACATATTCCCTACATATATACCTTATCACACAGGTGCCATTAATCTTGCTACACTCCCTTCTGTTCTTTCTTTCTTGTCTCTACCTTCTACTCCCTTTAGTGTCTCTCCCTACTAAAGACAATGATGATAAGATACAAATATAGATATCTGGCCAGGTAGCAAGAGTTTGGGAAGTGAAAGCAGAAAGGGTGGAACACCATTTTTCTTTTATGTAAAAATATATATGCATTCAAACTCAGTTTCCTGAAGAGACAACATAGTCTAGTAGAAAGGGAGGAAGGAAGGAAGTAAGCATTTTTGTGGTACCTACCATGTGCCAAATAGTATGCTAAGCACTTTACAAATATTTCATTTCACCTGCATAAAAATGCTGATAGGTAAATGTTATTATTATTATCCACATTTTACAGTTGAGGAAACAGACAAAGGTTAAGTGACTTGCTGAGGGTCATGTGCAGCTATGATGCATGAAGTCTAATTATAATGGATCTGAACGGTGAAATCTCTGACTTTGTCATGAGCATACAGATCTCAGAAATGCCATGAAGGCAGACCAGGTTTCTTCACTAATGTTTATTTCTCTTAGCTCCCCACTACTTAAATGTAAGTCTTTTTTTTTAAACTAATGCATTTTAGTGTGATCTGATGCTATATACGATTGTTAATTCCTAAAAGCTTTTTAACTATGATTATCTTTGTTTACTATCATTTGACACAACCAAGTTCAAGGTAAATTGCAGCAGTCAGTATCAATTTCTTAACAGAGAGAAATGCATTTCTGTGAAAGTTTACAGTAAAATGCTCAACTTTAATGACCATCTGAAAAAATATGTTGTTGAAATGAGACCAATGTCTAGTGTTGAGCTTCCTATTTTGTTTTGTGCCTTTAAGAGGGACTTAAAAAAAATTAGGTTTGAAATTGTGACTCCCAGTAGTTTCTAATTGCCTATCAATTTTAGCTTTAAAAATGTAAAAAAGGAAAGACCATGCTTTTGAAAATACCAAAGCCCTACTCTTTTTAACTTTAAAAAAAAGTCCTGTGAACCCAGCTGTCTGCATTTTACCTGTAGCGGGAGTGCATTTCTGCAAACTGGAAACATTGTTACTCAGCAATTGTTCTCACTTAGCCTCCTCTTATTATTTTACTGGTAGAAAAAGCTTTACTTCTTCTGAGATTTGGCTCTCTCAATCTAGTTTCTTTTATTTTCAGGGCTCTTAGATCTTGACACTGTGCATTCATCTCTGACTGTATGATCTCAGAGATCTTGTCAAGGCTGCTAGTCCCTGATGTCATCACACTGTCACTCATCCTGCTGGTTTCACTAGTAACTCCAGAACAGTCCTTCATTGCTGTTATCTCAATTGGAAAGCTTGCTCCATCCTTCAACTGTTCGGGTCTATTATTCTTTAACTGGATATAACTTTATTACAACATAGAACTGTGATCAGAATTTCTTTTGCCCTGTGGAGTTTCTCTTTTCCCCATTTGAAGAACCTCATCCATTCCTCCTCATCCCCATACCTCAACCAATTTAATGGAGAAAAATAATATGAACAGCATGGAATAAAGCCTTTTATACTTTCCTGTTGGTGTGTTCTAATATGTTTGAGAAGATACTATGAATAATAGAAAAAGGTATTTGTCTTTTAGTAAGCAGTACTGTTTTGTATTCCTGATTCTGACACTCAGTAGCTGTGTGATCCTAGGCAACTCAGTCTGGGGTCAATGTGTGCTATAAAATGGAAAGAAGTACTTGTAACCTGTACTTTACAGGGTTAATATAAGGAAATTTCTTTTCAAATAATTTGCTTCTAACTAAATATGAGTATCTAAACTAAACATCTAAACTAGTAACTAAATAATTAACATTAGTATATAAGCTTCATCAGCAATATATAAGCTCTATAAAAGAAGAAACTTTTTTTTTTCTTGGTCCTTGTCTCTCCTACATTAAACACAGTATCTTAATATCTCTCTCATGTTAGACACTTAATGTACGCTTGATGAATTAATGAATAAATAATGTTGGAATATTCTCTGATTTTGGTTGTTTAATATTTTAATCTTTGAGATTTCCACATATTAAAGACTAGACATTTTGAACAAAAACTCATAATTAAAATTATGTCTATTGATGAGGGACATGATCATGTTTAATCAGTTTTTACTTAGTAGAATCAATAAATCCTTACTATAACTGTGAGTGGTAAATGCTATTATTACTGAGACTTTATAGATGAGGAAAATGAGCAGTTTGAAATTAAATAACTTGCCAAGCATCACATAGCTAGTGAGTGTCAGAGGTCAGATTTGAACTCCTGTGTTCCTGACTCCAAGTGCAGCACTCTGTTCATCTAACTTCCACTTATCCTTCACTCTGCTGAAGGAAATCTTTACTTATCGGTTTGGCTTCTCTAATTTTACAATGGAAATTAACTAGAAAAGAAAATTGATTTTGCAGTAATTCTCATTATAGTTAACATTATTTGAGTACATTTTTTATAATGGGAATACATTGTGATTATTAGATTAAAAGATGGAAAGCCAAAATTTTAAATTCATGTTCAAGCATACTAGTTGGTTCTATTATCTTCAGAGACTAAAATTATATTATTATTATAACTTGGGTGGATTAACTCTTATATAGAGGACAATAGTCCCCATGGAACTATTCAGTGTACACATTGCATACAGGGAGTAAATAAGAAGATGCAGCCTAAGAATACAGAATTTTTTTAAAAATGAAAATTCACAACAAAGAGGGCAAATTCAATATTGAAATTATTTCTGGATCCTTTTTTTCTATTGAAAAACCAAATATGTGTCTGGATCAATATATTTAAAACATTTTTACTGGTTGTTATAAAAATAACCTGCCTTCCAAATAAATCAATATTATAGAAAAAATCTTCATACATTTTAAGTTTTGGTAAATTTTTAAAGTGTTAGGAAAATGAGCCTCCAATATCTACTATCTTTTAGGAAAAATAATATTCATTGTATAGATTTGATAACTTGACCAAATAATCTTATGTTTGACTTTATCATGAATTAAGACTATTTTTTATTTTAGAACTTAAAGTTATAAAATTCATTTTCATGTGTCTGCATAGCTTCCTAGATATTTTGGAATATTTATAATGATAAAAACACACTCTTCCCCTACCACTGTATACCTTCCATCTGTTCAAAATAACATCTGTCAAACAAATTATTGTACCATAAGAAGTGATGAATATGAAGAATTCAGAAGAAAATATCAGTTGATATATAATGATGGGATAATCAGTAGGCCTTATCAATAGTTTAGGTATGAGGTAATGAGAGTATAACCTGATATGATGGCAAAAGGTGCCTCCTGCCTAGAGAAGAGAGGTGGTAGTCTCCAAGTATAGAAATGAGGTGTGTATTTTCCATACGTGAATGCTGTTTTGATTACTTTTGCTTAACTCTGTTTATTTGTTACTGGAGAAGGTTACATTTGGGGTGTGTGTGTGTATATATATCAGGAATCATTATGAGATAATACTGCCATTGATAATATTATGTATATATGTCTCAATCGTATATATATATATATATATATATATATTATACACACATACATACATACATACATATATATATATAAAATTTCTTTTTCTCTCTCTTTATATATATATATATATATATATACATACATATATGAATACATTATCAAGTGATATCACCATTACTTTCCAATGCATTTGCTTATATATGTATATATGTATGCATGTACATATGATATATACATGTATACATGTATTATATGTGTAATAAAATGATAACTGTCCCATTGAAAATTTATTAGGCTTTTTTTGCCAACATAGATTTCTGCAATATGAAACAAAACAAAGTATATCAATTCCATTTGTCATTTATGAAACTTTGTGAAAATGAGTTAAGTAACTCCTTAGAATTTATTATGGAGCAGATAGATCAATGTCATTTGTTAAACAATAAACTTGAAATGGAAATGTTGTTTAGTAAGATTATAAATCTAAAACAATAGTGCTTAATAGACTGTTAAATATTCAAATCATATAATTCAGTACTTAGTGAAATCTGTCATCTGCATGTAGAGAGGATTCAGAACTTTGAAGCTGATTTTTGTTTTGCCAAAATGACTAAGGTTTGAGGGAAAACTGCTAATTGAAAATTGTTCCCTAAAGTACAAACATCCTTTATTTTAGAGAATACTATGAGAAAAGTTTTGGGAAAATCTTAAAGGCTTCACTTTTCCAGGTCTCCTATGCTTCTTCATTACCAGTTAATATTTATAATAAAAACATATAGCACATTAAGGTTTGCAAAGTGATTTACCTATATTATCTCATTAGATATTTATTAACAGTCTCTACCATGAATAAATAGAAAAAAAATAACATGCCTTTTGTACATTGACACTCGTTATCCTTCATTATTTCAGACTGAGTTTTTGCAAAAAAACCACGTGATCATGTGTATGGAAAGTACACAGTTCCCTTTCCTTGTGGCACAGATTTAAACAGAAATACACTAATTCAAGCAGACGTGTATGACCACTATTCAGGAATATTATAGGTCAGATTTCTGTTAAGGCTCAAGTGTGACTATAGGGCTTTCATGGCCCTTTCCAGCTCTGAAATTCAGTACAATTATGAGATAAGGAGTCATCTAATCAACAGTGCTTCAAAATCTTGTCTCATGTTCTGGTATTCGATTCAATTAAATTCAATCTAATTTAATGCACTTTTTTCTAAGCACCTGCAATGTGTAAGATGTTGCACATCTGTAGACAAAAATGAAATACAAAAAAAAACCCAACCTTACATTCAAGCTAAAGGAGGAAAAGATCACTAACAATTGAGAGAATTTGAAAAAGTTCCACAGAGTGGCTGGCAGTCAAGGGGAAACATTGAAGAAACATGAGTATGCAGTGAAGCAGAATTTTCAATTTTTCAACAACCCAAAAGGTGATGTTACACATGGATATCACTAGATAGTCAATATAAAAATCAGATTGATTATGTACTTTGCAGCCAAAGGTGGAGAAGTCCTGCACATTCAGTTAAAACAAGACCTGGAGCTGACTATGGTTTAGTTCATGAGCTTCTTTTTGCAAAATTTAGACTTAAATCGAAGAAAGAGAAAACAATCAGACTGTATAGCTAAGCCCTAATAATATTTCTTATGAATATGACTTGGAAATAATAGATTTAGCAGATCAGATCTGTTAGATAGATTACCTACAGAGCAAAGGACAGAGGTTTGAAATGTTGCACAGGAGGCAACAACGAAAGAACCTTCCAAAGAAATGAAGAGCAAGAAAGCAAAATGACTGTCTGATGAGGCTTTACAAATAGCTGAGAAAAGAAGGAAGGGAGAAAGGGAAAGATGTAGCCAAGTGAATGCAGAATTTCAGAGAAAGCAAGGAGAAAGAAGATTTTCTTAAATGAGAAATAAAAGAAAACAACAGAATGTGAAAGACACAAAGATATGGCCAAGAAAATTAGAGATATCAAGGGAATGTTTCATGCAAAAATGGACATAATAAAGACAAAAATGATAGGGACTTAACAGAAGTAGAAGAGATTAACAAGAGGTGGCAAGAATACACAAAAGAAACATACAAGAAAGATCTTATATCACAGATAACCACAATGTTGTGGTTACCGATCTAGAGACAAACATCCTACAGAATGAAGTCAAGTGGGCTTTAAGAAGTATTGCTAATAGGCTAACTGAGGTTATAGAATTCCAGCAGAGCGATTTAAAATCATAAAAGATGGTGCTGTTAAAATGCTTCACTCAAAATATGCAAATTTGGAAGACTCAACAGTGGCCACTGGTTTGCAAAAGATCAATTTGCATTCTAATCTTAAAGAAAGGCAGTGTCAAAGAATGTTCAAATTACTGAACATTTGCACTCAACTCACTCATCAGCAAGGTTGTACTTAAGATTGTCCAAGCAAAGCTTCAGCAATATGTTAACAGAAAAGCAGACTGGTTTGCAAAGGAGCAGAAGAACTAGAAATCAAACTGCAAATATTCTCTGGATTATGGAGACAGCAAGGAAGTTCCAGGGGAAAAAAAATGCTTTGGTGTCATTGAGCACATAAAACCCTTTGACTATGTGGATCACGACAAAATATGGTATGTCCTCAAAGAAATAGGAGTACCAGATCATATTGTCTCCTGAGAACTTGCATAAAGGTCAAGAAACAATAGTTGGAAGCAAACATGGAACAATTAATTGGTTTAAAATGGGGGGGAGAAGTGCAAAAAGGCTATATATTGTCACCTTATTTAACTTATATGCAGAGTATATCATGCAAGATGCCAAGTTGGATAAATCAAAAGCTGGAATTAATGTTGCCAGGAGAAATATTAACAATCTCAGCTATTTAGATGATACCACTTTGATGACAGAAAGTGAAAAATTATCAAGAAGCCTATTGATATGGGTGAAAGAAGAGAGTGTGAAAGCTGGCCTGAAACTTAATATTAAAAAAATAATAATAATAAAGTCACAGCAACTGGTCCCATCAC